ACACCCCAGTCAAGCATTGGGTCGAGTTTCTGAAGTACAGTTGAAGAGAAAGAGGAGGGATTATATGAGCAAGGAATGTCAAGGTCAGGATCAGGAAACCCACAGAGACAGCTGATCCGAGCAAGTGGGAGCTCACAGACTCTGAACTGACGGCTGAGGAGCCTGCTATGGGACCAAACTAGGCCCTCTCAATGGGGGTGACAGTAGTGTGGCTTTGTCTCTTTGGGGGACTCTTGGCAGTGGGATAAGGATTTATCCCTGGTACATGAACTGTTTTTTTTTTTTTTTTTGGAGCCCATTCCCTTGGTGGGATACCTTGCTCAGCCTTGATGCAGGGAGGAGGGACTGGTTCCTTTGTCAACTTGATATATCATAGGAGGGATTATCTTTTCTGACGAGTGGGTGGGAGCTAGAGGGAGGTGGTAGGGAGCGGAAGGAGGAACTGTAGTTGGTATGTAAAATGTATAAACAATAAATAATAAAAGTAGAAAAAATGATAACTAGAAAATATGATTAAGATAACTACTCCAAGTAAGAAAAGTGAATGAAGACATTGTTGAAAGGATGGAAGAGTGTGGTCTATAGCGCATCTCAAAATCCTTGTATATCTCCACCCAGTTCCAGTATTTAAAAAGGGTCAACTATTAGTTTGAAGATGAAACAATGATATAATGCTATTGTTACATTCCCACAAAAAGATCTGACTGTCTTTTGAAACAAGCTATTTTCAAGTTACCTGGGCTATTGTGTCGTAACTGATATGCTGACCGGTGACTCTATGAACTAAGGGCAACCTCCAATACTTTTGGTCTTTCTGGAATGACCATAAGCTTAATATATGAGGGAAAGAAACAGCACAGAAACAAGCTTATCCATATGTTCCCTAATTTATTGATGAAGATGTGAAAATAGCAACAACAAACATCTAAAGTAGAATATATTTTAAAGGTCCTGCATACATGTGGTCCCTGGAAATGAGATACAAAATGCAAAAATGATGAAATTTTCTTGGGTGTTACGAGTCTTGAAATATAGAAGGAATTATAAGCCTCACATTGTTTTTTCTGGTGATACCTAAGAATCTGTTTTCCATTTTAATATTTCTTTGTTAGTTAAAATGCTAATTCAGAATGCTTCTGCTGGCATAGAAGACCCTATAATGGATATTCTGAGACTGAAAACGCAAGGAGGTGATTGTTCCTAGTTCAGTTGTATGAACTCAAATGCTTAATATTAAGTAAAACCAGCAGTTTCCTCCTAAATTCTCAAGACTTTGTGTAAGTTTACCCCATTTACATAGCACAGCACTGTATGTTTCTGACAAATTCCAATGTAGCATGCAACAGTGGTTCCTAATTGCTTTAGCATTTATCATGCACAAGAGACGGGAGGGAAGTCGTCTCATTTTGTACAGCTCAGTTGCATTCCTTATCTCTGAAGTACACTTAAGCAGCAAACTGGGACTTAAGGTAGCTGAGTGAAAGCCAGCATCTATTAACATGCATATCTTGGAGGGAAAATGAATTGGATTTTCTAAAACGGAATACAGCCCAACCTCATTCCGTGCATTAATTTTGCATAATTTCACTTTTGCACATTTTATAAATGAGGGGTCATGCTCTGACTTACCCACATAAATTCTCATGCTCACATTTTCCAGGTTATGCCTTATGTCAGCTTTGTTTGCAAAACATTTCTTAAAAGCATTTTGGTGCATTTCCAAGATGTCTTTTGAGGTCAATTAGCACCTATTAATGTTTTTCTAAACAGTCACTGGATGTGCTTAACTAGTGTCTACTTAGGCATCTTTTATCTGACAAGTGTTCTGAAAGGTTTTATGTCTTAAAGAAACAGTACCCATTTTCTTGAAAATGACATATTTTTCTATGCTTTATAGGTAAATAAAATTTCATTGTGTAAACTTATCCCATGTTATTTATTTATTTCTCCCTTAATTGACACCTAGGTTGATTCTGTAACATGACACTGAGAATAGAATGTGGAAGCAGAGGCAAAACTATCTAAAGGGATGGATGGGAATAAGAAGAGGGTGGAGAAAATGGAGGGTGAGTTGGATAACGTTAAAATACATGATATATTTGCATGGAAACAACTTTATAAAACCCATCACCATGTATAATACATATTTGTCCCCAATTTTCATAATAAAAAAATAAAAGAATCCCTTGATATCTCACAAAGACTATTTGGTTACCATGCATAAGAAAAGAAGAATAAAGAAGCTGAAGTTTTCTGCACTCTTATATATAGGTGCTTCCTACTACTGAGTTGTGCTGATAGTCAGCAGTCTGTCCCTACTGTTCTGGGAATTCAAATTGTTAAGAATTAACACCTAAGTGGGCATACGAAGAGCATGTGAACTGAAAAGCACCAACGCATGCATTTAACTTTGAAAATCCATTGGAAATTATATGTGTGTATGTATGTATGTATACTTATATAGTTCCATGAAATGATGTGGGAGTCCCCCTCTGTGTGCTGTGATTACCATTAATGAATAAAGAAACTGCTTTGAACCTATAGTAAGGCAGAACTTAGGTAGGCAGAGAAAGCTAGGCTGAATGCTGGGAAAAGAGAAGCGGAGTGAGAGAGAAGCCATGGAGCCACTGGAAACAAATGCTGGGAAGTTTACCCAGTAAGCCACTGCCATGTGGCGATACACAGATTAATAGAAATGGGTTAAATTAATATGTAAGAGTTAGACAATAAGAAGCTAAAGCTAATGGGCCAAGCAGTGATTTAATTAATTCAGTTTCTGTGTGATTATTTTGGATCTAAGCTAGCCAGGCAGCTGGAAAGAACAAGTGGCTCACTCCCCCCAACAATGAAATGAATATTTATATATCTAATTTGTATATTGTATGTGAATTAGTATTTATAAATTTTTATTTACATTCATGAAATTAGAGTAACTAAAGTTCTATCTGTTGTGGCATCTCTTTTTTTCTTTTTATTTATTGTTTGTGACTTTCATATCATGCATTTCTCTTTCATTCCACTGTCCCTTTATGTCCACCCTCTGTCCTTGTAATCTCTCCCTGAAAAATGAAATTTAAATGAAAAAATGATGTAGGAGGTTCTTCTATATTTGTGTTGCTTTCATTGGTTGAATAAAGAAACTCCCTTCCCTTTGATAGGGCAGCAGCTTAGTTAGGCAGAGTAGACTGAACTAAATGCTGAAAAGAAGGACAGAGTTGAGACACCATGGTTCTCCTGCCTGAGATGGACGCTGGTTAGACTCATGCTGGTAAGCCACAGTCAAGTGGTGATACACATTAATGAAAATGGGTTAAATCAAGATGTGAGAGGTGGCCAAGAAAAGGCTAGATACAATGGGCCAGGCAGTAATTTAATTGATACAATTTCTGCATGGTTATTTTGGGGCTAAGCTAGCTGGGCGGTAGGACACAGCCCCCTCGATACTACAAAAAAAGAAAAAAATTCTCATCATGGAAGCTGTAGGGTGACACAGTGAATTAAGAAGTAAAACCCTTTATTATCCATATATCTTTATATGCAAGTGTCCATTGCAAAGGGTCATTGGTCTGGTTCAAGGCCTCTGGTGTCTGCTACACTATCTATGTTGGGCCCTCACTGGGACTCCTCTTGGATATCCTACTATTGTCCTGTATCATGGAGACCCTGCAGCTTTGCATCTGCAAGAACATTCTTTTATATACTCCAGCATATCACTGATGGGATGGATGTTGGGGTGGAGTAACACATAACCCTAGTTCTGAGCCTGGGTAGTTGCAGAGTTGTTCATCGAGCCAGCTCTCTTAGCACCAGGGTGAGTTCTCCAGGTATTACCATGGCTTGTTCACCCTTTCCAACAAGAGATGGGGCCAGTTCTCCTGTTTTCATGCCCTCGGGGTTGGATCTTCCACACCTACACCTTCAGGGTCAGTCCCACTGTGTTGCCCAGATATGGCACAGGGGCCACTCTCCAAGTTCTGCACCTGATGAGGGGCAGGGGAGTTTTCTCATCTGCCCCAGGCATTGATGGGCAGTGGGGAGAGGGCATCTCTCCCCTACTCATCCCTCCATGACAGATGGATAATAGGGATAGCTCTCCCATGCTCAACTTCGAAGCTGGTTCACCCACACCCCTACCAATGGGGTTGGCTCTATTTTGCAGAACCCACCCTCCCAAACTTATGTTGGGGTGAAGGGCATCACTCCCCCACCTCTGCTGTGTTGTGGTCTTTAATGATAAAGAAACTTTAATTATATCTTACCATTGTAATAATCTTTTATGTACATCTTCTGAGATGTACCCAGAAAACACAAGTTGTACAACCAACAGTGGTTTGCACAGACAGCTCATCTATATCTAATCTGAGACCTGTATTTTTGTACTGTGACCTATCTGACCTGTGTGCACCTACTGGATTCCAGAATTGTTCTCATTTTTCTATGTGGTAAGGGTAACTTGGGAAAGACCAAATAGGTAATAGGGTAATCATATTTTTAGCACTTTTTAAGGCCTGTGGATTCCAAAAAGACTAATATAATTTATAAATGAATTCATAATATTCAATCTACCCTTCCTTCTATAGTCCATCAGTGTGAAAATGCTTTCTGTCTATTGGTGTATTTTCCCCCATGGCTAAAGAGAAGGCAATGAAAAGGGATTCTGTCAAAGGAAAATGTTAAGTGGCAAGGAGATAAAGCCTAATTACAAACAATCGCCTCATTCTCCTTGGGTCATGGTCCAAGTGTAAACTCAGGGCACTCATTTCGTCGATTATTTTGTACTAGCATCACCTCTACATTTGTCAACTCAAAAGTGAGTTGATTCTATTAACTATGTCAAAAAGCTTCATGTTTGTGGGGACAGTAACAGACATGGTTTATTCACCCCAACTCCTTCATTATGGGAAATGGCTGGCAATCAGTTCTGCAAGAGCAGGGAAATATATTGATAATGAAGTTGAGAGGATTGTACAATGAAAAATGAAACTTCACACCAATAAGTTACACCAACACATTTATTGCAAGTAGCTCTACGGAAAAGCAAGTCAGATATATATATAAACACTATACAGAGTTGCAAGGTTGTCTCCCCAAACTGCAAACGAGATGCCTACGAACAAGAAAGCTTAAGAGTATTTACAAAGGAAGACAAACACAGAGCAACTCAAAGCAGGTCTGTGAAGCAGAAATAGCAAATGCAATGAACTGTTGGAACTGTAAGCTTTAGTTTTTACTGACCAAGTAACTATGTATGACACCAAACTAATGTAGTAGTCACACACACACAAATCGTTCCATCATTTCTTTTTCTCAGCAGCATAAACATCACTGGAAGGTAAGTGGTATGTTGGTACACATATTCCATATTCTTCCAGCACAATACTGAATAAATTAATTAAATCTGTAAACTAAGAAGTTGTATCCCAAAGACTGCATATTTGTTATGCTGTACCTGTGACTATATGTACCTGTGACTAATCGTATGTACTGTTGTGTCTGAGGTTTCCATTCATTTATTCAGCAACTGTGCTACCTCTGTGCTCTACGTTCTGTACCCTGTCTATTGGCAGCCCCTAAACCGAATATGTGAACAAAGTAATACAGCAGTTTCCCTCAAATAATCTTTTCTTGCTACACTTCTGAACGATTATGACAACTTACTTGAATTAAAATGGTAACAGAAGCCCTGAAGGAAGGCTGCCTAAAGAGTACACTGTTACGATGAACAAAAGCCACACTGCATTACTGACTAGGTAGGACCAAGAGAGGAGCCTGAAGGGACGGATGGAAGTGATGCCCCAGCAATGACCAGAAACTGGGTAAGTGAGTGGCATTGAAGCTACATCCTCTCAGCACAATTTACACAGGGAAAAAGGAGCACTCCCCATCCCTTTGCTTGGTAGGCAGGAAGAAACAATAGAAATCAACTCGGTTCTTCAGAAAGTTAGTTCAGCAACATGTACTAGAAGCCTGCTCAAAGATAGAAGCACACGTTCAAAGATATAGGAACCGAGTGGCAAAGAACTTCACGTAAATATTACACTACTTCAAAGTTGCACGTTAAATGCGAAGCAATTTTTTTTTTAAAGAGTTACACACAACAGGTAATCACATGTTCACAGGTACACAAAGGTGCACATACACACAAATGTGTGCATACACACACTAGCACTCACACACTTTTGCAGACACTTGCTCAAACACTCACACCCATCTGTGAGATGATTGAGGTTTGCCAGTGATGGTACTACAGCCAAGAACTGTACGCCACCACATAACAAAGCTCTAAGCAAGCTTCAGGACCTTTGTTTCTATCCTGTGTTGTCACCACCTGATGTTGTCAGGTCCACAAAGGTCCAGGTTCCTAAAATCTTAATTCAGTTTCCATCAGAGGCAAGCAAAAATGGGGGTGGGGCGAGCTTGCTCTGAATTTTTTTCTTTTAAATTTTGTACATCTTATACTGGCTTATATTTTCTGGGAGGAAAAAAAAGCCTTATAAGAGGTTCCGTTTGGCTTAAATTTTAGGCAGATGATCAATTGATATTTCTGATATGGGAAACAAATTTCTTTATAGGTGTCCTGGGCATGGGAGGATCAATGGCTACTGGGGGAAAGACCAGAAAGAGGGGGAGATAGTTTGAAGAGTAGGAAGGAGGAGCCTCCAGAGAGGCAGAAATGGTCTTTTGAGATGGAGGCTTGCCTCTTTTCAGGGATAAATGTAGGTTTCAAAATAATAGGTTTGGAAATGTCCAATCCACTAGCAGACCATGGCTAGGTTGTACATGAACAAGTAGACAACCTGCTCTTTGGCTCTGCCCTTAAGATATTCTGTCAAGACATCACTTTAGTTGATAGTGTCAATAGAATGTCGCAGTATTGTTAATGGGCAAAATCTGAGATAATTTGCCCTTTAGTCATGTCTTTAAAATACTGAAAATGCCTTGTCAAGTTAGAAGAAGTTCAGTTCAGATTAATTCCTTGATCAAGAAATGTTTTAAGTGTGCATTGATCAGAAAAAGATTCCAGATCATACCTACCTTCTCATTAATATATATACATATTTATTTATCTGCCATTGTTTAAAGATGTTCACGTTGAAATTCATCCAAGTATTATATGTCATTAAAGTTGGTACTGGCTGTATTTACATAAACTGAACACATTTTTAGAGAGGAAAAGGGAAGTGTTATGAGATACTAACTTACAGCATCTTATTCCTTTCAAAGGGACAGGTCAGGGAAGCTAGGACATAAAGCCTATGTACAGTGTGAACATCTTTAAGTCAATCAATGGATCCAGGAGGCAGTAGTGAGAATGAACTCCATGAACAGGCTCATTCAGCTGCCACGGTCCAGTTGACTGGTAGGAACAGAGGCTGGTTTCTATACAGAAGCATTTTCTTTCCTTTAGGCAGATCTGGAGTAGATGAAGATGAATTCTGTGTCGTTTTTCTTCTAAAAGGTGTTTGGTTTTGGTGGCAAGGTAATCACTCTACAAAAAAAAAAAATGATGACAAAAATTATGTTCAAAATCAGAGTAAAGAACTGTTATCCTTCCATGTTTTTGAACAAAAGGAAACAAAACCTAATGGGGTTCCCAAGAGACGCATTTGAAGATACTTCCTTGGCACAGACATGGTTAATCAACACCCTGGGATTCCTGAACAGAGAAAACACAAGCTAGACAAAAACACTAGGATAGTTACTCCTGTTCCCAGCCCAGTTTAGCTGCCTGAATGGAGCCTTAGGGAGAAAATGTTCACGCTTCTCCTACATGCATAAGTCTACCTTTGCCTTAGATGACACAAGTCAACGGATTTAAGAACAATTGTGATAAGGGTCTTCTGACCTAATCATGGAGTTGCTTCTGAAAGAACTAGCTATAACTGCAAAGATTTGATTGACATTTCTATTTCTCTACCAAAAAGATATGACTCTCTTAACTATCAGTTGAATGCGAGGGCACATAACCGGAGCACAGTGTACAGAGCAGCGGGAATTAAGTATATGGGGGAAGTTACTGGAATGAAAAAGAGAAAGAAAATGCCGGCAAGTGGATTATGGAGTGTCAAGGTTACTTTAAACTCTGGTTACATCAAAGTACCCAGTATTTCATGTCACCTGAAATGAGCTAAAAGAATCCTTAGAAAGCTTCCTCTAGAGTAGCCTTCAAGTAAAAGATCTTTAATTAAACTGTAAGTATCTATTTCTTTTGATGGATATTTTAATGAATGCAACAAGACTGAGCACCAAAGTCTCCATCCTTTCCCTACTTATTGTGGTTATTAGTCATGCTCATTGTTCTTTCCTTCATATTAAAAAGGTTAGAAAGAAGTACCCTAAATTAGGAAGTATTAAGTCTTCCCATGAGTGCTACATTGGGGAATTTTAGCTTTAGGATAAAAGGTATGTGTGCTCATCACAGATTGACTGCGGGTATGCATATTATTAGCAGCTCATCTACTTGTGACAAAACTGGGCTAGGTAGGATCATGGAATTTGTTCAAATATCACGTACAGGTTTTTAACAGAAATGTGATGTTACAAAGATATCTTAGTAATTTAGCTTATTATTTTTAATATGCAACATCTTCATAGTTCATATATATAGTATATTGCAATTACTTCAAATGGGAATTTCTGAGTATCATAGGTTATGCACTTCAATTCATACATTTTTGCAGAAATATGTAAATTAAGTTCCTAAGCTACCTAAGTGACAGGTCTTGGAATTAGGACCATTTGTTGACATTGAAGTAATTTTCCTTTATTCTTTCCTTTCCAAAAACAATAGCAGCTCTAATAAAGAGTCGATGCTTTCCTATGGCACTTACGTCACCATTGGGGAAAGTGTGAATAACCTACTAAAGCCCAGAAAATAGTCATTGTAATTTCAAATTTACAAAATGTGTTTGTCAATTCCTATTTAACTATGCTAGTAGACAGGAATAATGCTTCCCAAACCTGAATAATCCCAAAATATTATAACTTGCTTTAAAAATGCATGGTGGGAACTGGAGCCACAGATTTACATTTATAATTCTGTTTTTCTTAGACCCATGGAGCATTAGGTTGGAAAACAGACGTATGAGTTACATTTTCAGCTCTGCCACTTACCTTCGTGAACACAGGAAAATTCTTAACTCCAGCTTCACTTCCAGTACTTACCATCACTGAAATAATGAATGTGAATGTGCTTTGAAAAATATAAGGAAATCAATCTGTAACTGGAAAACATTCCCCTCAATCAAGAAGTTATCAATTTAACAACAGTTCATTTGAAATCACACACAGTAATGCTTAGTTCTTTCTGCAATGGACAGCTGCATCTGTTCCAACATGAAGTGTATTTGTTTTTAGAAACCTTAGTTTGTTCCCCAAGATAAACGCCTGCCAATGATTTGAAGTATTTTGGTTCAAGTTTGGTGATTAGAGACAGGGAAAGAAAGCTGGAGACCCTGGTTGAGTATTTATGAATGTATAACAGTCTGGTGTGCTTAATTAAAGTCCTGGCCCTGGTTTCAAAGAGATGTTTTTTCTTGTAGCTGACATTTTTATCCTGGAAGCATCAGTCTTAAAATAGAATGAATGCATGTGAATAATGGTTGCCAACAACTTTAGCTAACTTTAACTGAGTGAAGTCCTTCTTAACTGTTTAGGTCAAATACCTCTTTACTCCAAAGAAATATCCAGATTTGGGGGGATGATGAATGCTACATAAAATAAGTGATCCATTAATTATAAATGGAAAATCTCTGGTATTTGGAAATTATATTCTAGTTATTTACAATAAATTTAATACAGTAAAAAATGATTTGCTTTCAGTACCCACAATTTATAGCAACAGGACTTGGCAGCAGGACAATGAAAAACAGCTTTGACTTCCTATGTGGTGATAACAGGACCTAATTGTCAAAAGTTAATTACTAGTTTTTGGCCTTTTAACACCAAGTACTACCATACCATAACTAATTTGGTTGAGCAATTATTTCCTGCCATCTACAGATGCCCATTTCATTCTCCTATGCTATGTCTTGAATAAAAATACCAGAGAAATCTACATCCCAAATCATTTCAACCTATCAATTTTATATCAGGTAAAGCATTAAAAGAAGCAAAAAGGCACACAAGGGTTTAGGGATAGGACTAAATCACATGGGAAATGACACTCTTCTAAATGCTAATGTGTTCAAAACCTGAAGCATTCATCATCAAGGGATTGCTTTAAAATCATTTTGTTCATTAAAAAATACATACTCAAGTTATATTCTGGGTGTTTCTTTCTAAATGGTTTGAATGAGCAACTGTAAAATACTTACATGAGGCTTGACTGTAGATACGTACAGTTGTACATTCATTATTTTTGCATTGAGTGATAAACTGGTCTTAATAAATTATAATCTCACATAATAAACACATTTCAATACGGAGATACCACCTGTGAATAATCATGCGTGACACTTGTAATGAAAGTAAAGACTAATGAAAAAGAAACACAGAATTTTAACTTAGCTTTGTGTTTCTAAGTTGGTAGCTAACAGTCACAACCAAAATAGTGATTGTAACTACATAATAACGCACACATAGCTCTTCTCTATTCCAGCTCTAAGCACATTCCCTAAACTGAGATTAACTTATTGAGCTATGTGACTCCTAATGATATGTCTTTTTTCCTTGTTCACAATACTATTTGTTTCTTGACATGATGTTTTCATTTTTAAATGCTAGATAAGAAAATAAAGATAAAACAGAAATAGGTGAAAGTTCTCCTATAGCGTTACAGAGAAACATAATCAGAGTCATCTGGCCTGTTTTGAACATTTCACAGACAACACTTTATCAATTCACATTAAAATGCTAATGAAAGTCATTTTCTGCAATAGGTTGCTTCAGTACCACACATCCTCGAAAGCCCTTCCATGTGATATATTGCAGAAAATTACATCTCAAATCTCCCTTTAGCATCAAGAAATTAGCTAGTTGTCAGAAAAACTAAATCATTAGTTTAAATGCTTGAAATTTCACTTCAGTGTTAAACCAATGACAAAGTAAAAATCCATTATATTTGCAAAGTGATTTCTTGCTCCCAAATGCTTTCATGCTCATTTGTTTCTTTCAATGTAAGCTCTTGCCTATCTATGAGATACAACTTCAGTGGTGTAGCCCCTCAATAAAGTCAGGAATTTCCTCAATAAAGAATACAATTGAAGCATATTAAACCTCCAAAAATAGCTACAAAGCCATTAGTCAGTAATTAAAAAATATAATGGCCCTGGATCCCAATAATCCTCAGCAATCAGAGTTTATTTGAAGAACAGTATGATTTCACTATTTTTAATTTATGTGTGAACAAAGATTAGAGTATTAGAAAGTGTAGGCATCATTTCAGAGAATCACAGGGTCCCAAGCAGCTACTCTGACACATCATCTCTTTTGATGTGGAGTTTTACATCGAAGTTGTACCTTGTACCTTCAGTGTTTAGGCTCCAGCAAAAGCTTGAGGGTGATTTGGGGGTGCACTTTCTGTTTACTTGTCCCTGAAAGGCTGATTGTTTGATTTTAAGTTCTTGGAAATGGAATTATGACTTTTAAATATGTAGTTATGATAGTAGCGCTCTCTCTCTCTCTCTCTATCTCTCTCTCTCTCTCTCTCTCTCTCTCTCTCTCTCTCTGTGTGTGTGTGTGTGTGTGTGTGTGTGTGTGTGTGTGTGTGTGTGTGTGTGTGTTGGGGGAGGGAGGAGCCTTACAATTTAAAGAACTTTTGAATTGAGTCCTTTGGCAAGCCAAAGCATCCCTTAGTCGCTTTAATAATCACTCTTTTGGTGTGTCTGTGCTGCAAGTGTGAGTTTTTGTATGGCAAGTTTTCTATAGCAAGGAGAGAAAGAAGAGGCAGGGGGCTACACCTGCACTAAATGGGGAGCTTGTAAGGTGGCTGTTGTGATCAGCCCCCAACTTGTTCTGCCTGATCAAGCACAGTGGGCAAAGATCCAATCACAAAAGCATTCCAGAGCACAAGGAAAGCAGGAAACTGACCAGTGGAATGAGAGCTGCTGGGAACCATCCCTTCACTGGGAAGGAAGCATAGTCTTCTAAAGAGAGAAGGCAGGGCAGGCTACAGGGTCATCGTCTGCAGACGTTTCTCGAGAACCTCTCAAGACAATATTGTGAACTCTTGGAGAAGGTTCACTCTTACAATTCTTCCCTTCATTCACAAAATTAGGCCCCTTGACCCCCCTCCCTTCAGGGTGGGCTGCCCCTGGAGTCCTGTCTTCTTCCTCCAGTCTTGTTACCTTGCTTTCCCAGAAGATACATCAATTAAATGCTTTTTTAAACGTTTGAAACAATATTCATATCCATAATCAAGATGCAACTACAACTTCTCTAGAAAGGGGAAGGGGTGAAAGAAGAAAATGAAGCCCAACAAAAGTGACTGGCCTTTCCCTACCAGTGACAGAGAAAAGGAACACTCACAGTTTCTCACAATTCAGCAAGCGCAACAACAAAAACAAATCAACACAAAAACTTTCCAGAGCAAATGCTGCCTTTTAATTGCCTGGGGTTTGAGATTGTCTATGTACCCTCTCACCATTCAGCTGACACCTGAGAGTTAACCTTTTGGACAAGTCCCAGCAAACTGGGCAAACGATGACTGGTAACTATGTTACCAGTTGGCTGGGTACTGCTAAACTTTCCATACTTTCATTGAACCCCTGCGCTTAAACTGGGCACTTGTGGTAAAGCAGCTTTAGCTGTAGACTTGAAAATTAGTTGATGGAGCTCAGTTTCTGAAGGACTTAGAGAAGAGGAAAGCAACCTCATGCGGTGAGGCTTTAAGTTTTAACTGCACCTGAGAAATAAATCCAGTGTTTAACAATTGGCTCTGTCAGTTAAATTTATGGCTTAGATCAAAGCTCATGTTATCGCAAAGGCCAGAAAGGTCCCATGTGAAAAGTGAAAACTGAATTCTACTCTCTCTAATAACAATAGTACATGAACTATCATCTCACTTATCGCTAACACCATAGCAAGTAGCGCATCAACTCACTCATTAGGCAATTTCCGTTAACTTCAGAAATTTAAAATATAAAGTCACCAACCTCTTTTCGGAGAGTGATCACTTCTTGTAGTCACGTCTGGCAAAGTCCATTCTCACGTAAATGTCGTCGTCATCGTCGTCGCTGTCCTCGGAATCCTCGCTCTCTGGGGGTCTCAGCACCCTTCGCTGGCGAGGTGGAGATGGGGGAGCGGCTGCACCGGCCGCCAGGTCCTCACCTCCGGCAGCTTGGTTACCTGCTCCATGATTCCAGCCTGCTGTAATGTCCCGGACCTCTCTTACAACCTGGGCACCCAGAGCATTAGCAACAGGTTGGAACCAGCGAGAGGAGGCGGAGTCAAATCTGGCAGTGCTCTGGAAGCCGCCAAAGAGAACGCCAAAGCCAGGGGCCGCTGCGAGTGCAGAGACCACCGCTAACGCCTGGCTCACTGCCAAGAGGGGCTCCTCAGTTACATCAGCATCCCTGGCCGAAACGGCGGGAAAATCTCTGTCGAAGATGTCAGTAGGGAAAGCAGAGACCGCGGCTCGGATGTTGGCGAATAAACTTTGGGAACGGCTTTGTGGGCGTCTTCTCTCCTGCACTTCCTCCTGCAGCAGCAGCCTAGCTACAGGTGGCGGATGAGAATATCGACCAGGAAAGAGAGAAACGTCCATACAGCACTCAGAAAATGGGTCGACTACATACATTTCACCGGTTAGAGCATCATAGCGAATGGCACGGTCAGCAAAAGGCACGATTGGTCTCATGACTGGGTTGAAAAATAATTCAATGTATTCACCCTCTTCCACAATGCTACCTGTAGCATTGCCTGGAAAAGGATAAAAGGGCCACCTAGTACGGGCCAGAGAGATGGAGCTGGCACCTGGTAGAACTCGTAAAAGATCTGAGAGACGGATTGCTGAATTTGGAAAGGGCACCCCGACTTCAACATTCAGGTAACTAGAAATACCTGTGCGTCTGGGGTCAATAATTAAGCCCCACGAATCTGGCAGTCCTTGAGCAGAGAGAGCAGGCTCACGGAGCTCTCTCTTAATGAAGTCAATGTTGACATAGTCATGAGAGCTATCAGCTCCTCTCTGCTCCTGTGTGGGATTTACTGGTTTGGCCTTGATATTATTTCCTTCTGCAATAAAAGAAAGTCGGTTAAGTCCCTCAGCCTTGTTCACTGGGCACTCATCATCTGAAGGCTTTGCAGGTGACCCCCTATCTCCAGGTTTGGAGAATGACCACTCAGTCTCCGAAGCCACATCTTTGGTGCGCGGGGGGAAAGAGGTTTCTTTGTCTAGACCCCTCCCCAGGAATTTCCCAGGCAACATTGGAACGTACTCACTATGGTCGCTCTGTCCCAAGGGAGAACTGTGAAAAGAACTTGGCAGAGAGAAGTAAGAGCTCCAACTTTTGGAGGAAGAACCTCCCTGAGGATTGGGGGGATTTTTAGGAATCGCACCCGCTCCAGGAGCCATAAACATGTAGTCACTGTCACTGTCATTGTCCTTAGAGTCATCCTCTTTATTAGTATCAGGTGCTTTTGGAGGACTTGGGGCAGGTGGCGGTGGGCTCACTCTGGGAAACATCATCATGTACCCTCTGGAGTCTTCAAATGGTGACTTAGAGTGGCCCTTCTTTGAAGGGGAGGAATTTTGAGGAGCCATTAGCATATAGTCACTGGAACACGCAAGGGGAGCAGCCACCCCTGGCCTCATTGGCACATATGGGTCATCCTCGTCTTCATCAAAAGCTCTGGCTCTATAAGGCGCCCGGGTTGCACCTTCTAGGGTCTCCATATCTCTCACCTCTTTGACTTCTTTGCGTTCTTTTGTGGCTCCCTTGTCTGCACAAAAATAAAGTCGGAATCTTCCCCCAGACTTCCCTTTCCCACCAGTTGCTCCAGTTGATGGGGGTGGAGGCGGCGGTGGTGGCGGTGGCAGCATTTGCTGTTGCTTGCTTTGAGTGAATTTACCAAAGTACGATTTTTTCTTCAGAGATTTTCCATGGTCACCATCATCGGAGTTTTTCCCACTTCCTGAGCCCTTGGCCCCTCCTGGGTTCTTGCCACCACTTGAGCCACGTCCATCGCCAGGTCCCTGGCCACCACTTGAGCCATGGCCACCTCCACGCCTCTGGCCTCCACCTGAGCCATGGCCACCTGCTGTGCCCTGGCCATTTCCTGAATACTGGTTTCCTCCAGCAGCACCCTGACCTCCTGAACCCTGGCCACCTCCAGATCCCTGCCTGCCACCTGAGTACTGGTTTCCTCCTGAGCTCTGACTACTGGAGCCTTGACCGCTTGAGCCCTGGCCACCTCCTGACCCCCGGCCATTTCCTGAGCCCCAGTTGTTCATGGGCATATAATCACCTTCGTTACCTTCCTCAGCGTCCTTGTCTTTTTCTGCAGAGTTGCTAGAGTTGGAGACTTCTTCGTGGTGTGAGACACGTACCGGGGGGCTAGGTGCTAAGCGGTGGGAAAAACTGGGTGGTACTGAAACCGCTCTCCTGGACCTGCCGGCTCTGGGCAGGTGCCCCCTTCCTAGCCTGGAGGGAGGTAGAGGCTCAGAGGGTTTGAAGCGCCTGTTAAAGAGCATCTCTTCCCTGTCACTGATAGCCCTGAGGTGGCTTAAGTGCTCCAAGCGGTATCTTCGGAACCAGCCGCAGGGTTCCAGCTGGTGCGGGCCCAGGTGCCTCCTAGTGGACAGCAGGGTTAACAGGTGGCCGCCGATACTGATGCTGTAGCTGCGGCATCGGGCTCTGTATTCGTCTGCGCACAAGGCTCTCATCTTCTTCAAAAACAACTCATGCATATTTTGGGCCACCACACAGTCATCCACCTGCATCCATAGCTCCCCTGGACCGATGGTAGTGGACCTGCCAACTTCCAAGAAGAAGTACTGGTCTGAGTGACCACAGCGACGAATGCTCATGAGCTGGACGACCAAACTGGCCACTTCGGTATTGAGCCTTACAAACAGGACCTCCTCGTCGGTAAGACACAGCCGGAACACGCCGCTCAGCTCTTTTCTGTGCCCCAGCCCCCTGGGTTTTATTACTACCTGCCACACATCTTTATAGAAGCATGGCCCCGTCGCCGCTGCTGCTTCCAGGGCATCCGGCTCTCCGTCCGGCTGCGCGCCTGGCAAGCCGCAGCGGCGGCGCTTGCTCTCGAGGATGAGGCGGCTGAGGAGCGAGTACCAGCTTTCTTGTTCCGACTGGTTCTCGGCCACCAACGCGAAGTACTCGTCCTGGGTGAAAAGGGCAATGAGGTATCGGTACCTGGCATCAGCTCGTTGGCTCACGGAGAAGCACTGGTGCAGGATGAACACTCGCCTGGGCGGGATGAGCGCGGGGATCGGCGCACCGGAGGCGGCAGCCGCTGCCGCAGCGGCCGCGGCGCGGACACTGTGCCGGAACTTCCTGGCATTTTCGTAGTATTCGAGCCGAGCCGGGGCGTCTTCGGTCTCGAGTTTGAGGACGAAGTAACGTCTGTGCCCATGCTTCTGCTTCCTCAGGTAGCCGCGTTTGCAGACTTCATCCCCGACGGGGAGGTCCTCTTCTTCGGACTCGGAGTCTGACCGGGAGCCAGTGGCCGTGGGGAGCCACATGGCTCCCGGACAGGACGACCCGGTCCCAATGAGTGCGGTCGGGGTTTCCGAGGAAGGAAGCGGGGTGGTCGCCACTGCTGCTAGAGCTGCGGAGGTTGCTGCTGCAGCAGCTCTCAGTCTCCTTAGCGCTCAGTTGCCAGCGAAGGAGCAACTAGCCACGGTGACGCGCGGTGTATTTAAGGTGAGCGGAGGGGAGGGGGGGCTAGGGAAAGGGAGGGCTGGGGGGGAGAAGAGGCCGTCCCCCGCTGTCTGCCCGCCCCAGACCCCTCCCGCCTAGGCCCGCGTCCCCGCCCACTCCACTGGGCTCACAGCGGCAAAACAACACGTGACCGTAGTCTCACGCGGCAGCCCGCTCCAGATCCAGCTCCCCAAAAGATGGAGGGGCGCAAGCGGCCACCAGTAGAGGTGTGCAAGGGACAGGAACCAGGGGCAAGGGATGCAGAGCCATTTTCAAATTGGCAGAGACACTTTAGATGAACCTCCAGAGCCTTTGGTACAAGGCAGAACCGACGGGAGGAGGCGGGGCTCTCTAGCCACACCAAGCCTAGATAGGAGTCCCAAAAGGATGGGGCAGGGGGTGGATGTATGGGGTGGAGGACAGGCGAGGATGGGGCGCCACAGCTCACACTCGATAAGCCTGAGGGGGCTAGAGATGGTGAGGGGAGACTGAGCTGGCACAGTGAGGGTTGATTTGTTTGTTTATTTAGGAAGCGGGGACCAGGTGAAACCTGTATAAGGCTCTGATTGGTTAGGATACGAGCCAATGGGAGGGTCCAGCAAGGGGGTGGCCCTGAATTCATTAATGCAACTGGGGAGGGGGGTGGTAAGGGATGAGGGGGCGTGGCTGGGGTCCCGGAGTGGGCTTCTCTATCTGGTTGTCTCAGGCTCGGGCGGTAAACAACCCTCGGAAAATAGCTGTTAATGGTGGTGATAAATTCCTGCAAATCCCAGAGCAATGGTGACCCTCTGCCGGGAGACCTCTCTCTTTCCTCCCTATAGCTCACATATATTTTCCGTTCCGATTGCAGTCGGCTCTAGTCCCTCCCGCCTCTCACCATGAGCTGTGCTTCTTAGCGAAAATGACAATAATCTCTGAAAACATGCTAAAGACCTGGGTCCTCAGACCTGCTGCACACCAAGCTACACAGACTTCCTCGCCCGTTCCAACCCTGACAAAACGCCAGCGACTCTTAAGACTCAGGAATAGCAGTTATGCCGTCAAAATGAACGCGATCTGTACAGAGAGTGTATTTCTAGTCCATGAAACACAGGTTCGCTGGAGATGGTGTTCCTATTTGATTGATGACGACTGTGAAAGTACAAATTTGGGGGCCTGCGAAGTATACAGCCATGTTGGAAAAAGCCGGACTTGATTCTTACCGAAAAACAGTGTTGAGCTGTCATGATTTTTTTTTTTTTTTCTGGAGGGCAGGGCTTTGAAGGGTGCCTTTTAAGGAATTTACAAATCCTAACTTTCTTTTTCCTTGAAGGAGACTGGAAAACTTTACGAAAAGAAAAGCTGCTATCTAGAACAAAGGAGTGTGCTGAATAAATGTCCTCGAATGTATTTTACATCCTTCACTTCAAGAAAGTCTTTGCTTTATTTCAGTTTACAAATTGACATCACAAAAATAAGAACCTACTGCCTCCCTTTTTGTTGGAGAAAGTGCCGGAGTGTAAGGTGTAAGTGCAACCACCTGAAAACTGTCTCTTTGCTCTTCTGCTCTCTTCTCTTCTCCCCTCCCCATCCCTCCCCTTCCCTCCTCTCCTCTCCTTTCTTTTCCTCTCTCAGCAGAGTCTTTATCTCATTGCAGAAGCTCAAGGATGGAGACAAGTTGAGATGTTATTAAAGTGCCAAGAAGTGACTGCAAGTGAAAAGAGGGATGGTGGGACCAAATAGTTTTCTTTCAAAGAATATAACGTCAGTTCATCCTTGTCCTTCAGGAGATACTACAAACGCTAACATTTATAAATCCAACAGCAAACTAAGCAGGAATATGTCATTAAAAAATAGACTCCATCTCCTTTTAAGAATTCTCTTTGTTAGCAACAGAAGAAATATATTAAAATAGATGGCACCTTCCTTCGTGATGTTCAGGTTGGCGGGGTGGGGGGGGGGCAAAGACTAGGAACAATCATTAACATGTCTTTTGCTTCCAGCAGTTTATAAATCTAGAGAATGCACAGGTGCTAGAAGCAGCTGTGGTTTGGGGAATAGGCTGGAGGCTGGATGAATAAGGGGCTGGAAACCGGAGGAATGCCAGTGAACTGAGGTTGCTACCCACAGGTTTCAACTGCTTAGTCACATACGTGCAAGATTCAGTGCACTTAGAATTCAAACAGTCACAGATACATTAACTTGAACTGTTCATGGTTTTTATAACATTCTAAATGCATTATTTTGCTTCTGATAGAATTGTAAAAAAAGAAATGTATTTGAAAATAATGTAAAATACATTTTAAAATATATCAAATACAATAAGGTGCTTGTTAATAAAATTTGGAAAATACTGAACAGATTCAAGAGTCTTTGTTGCTTTACCACCTATGTACACAGAGTTTCTATATAGACTTATTATATACATGTGTGTATATATATACATATTTATAATTTGGTATATTCTTCTTTTAACTCAACAGTATATAGCAATACTATCCCATATTTCTATGAATCAGCCTAAACATCATTTAAGAAGTAGAATATCCCACACAGCTGTGATAAAACAATATATTCTCAGGTTTAGTTAATCATTTTTCAGTATTGCAAATAGTACTTCCATTAATCTCTTGAATCTATGACTTTAAACATTGAAATAATTACCTTTGCAAACTGAAGATGAGAATTACTGAGGTAGACTCTGACTATTTCATACATTATTTTTAAAAATATTATATGACTTTACCCTGCCGTCACACCACTGTAGTCATTAAATATTCTTGCTTTAAAATAAGATACTGATAAACAAAATGCTATCCCACTGTTATAATTTTACTTTTTGTCTGACAGTAAACTATCTATGTGCATGTCTACCCACTATGTATTTTCTTTAATAAAGTGCCATTTTAAAGCCTTTGGTTTATCTGTTGAATTCATATTTTATGTATTGATTTGTTTACATAATAAAGATTTTAAAATTTTGTCATATTGTTACAAGGGTTTTTTTTCTCAGCTGGTAATTAAAAAAAATCACATCCAACTTGAGTCCCTTTTGTTGTCCCTTCTATTTTAAAGAGAGTTGTAAATTTTTCTCACTGTGTTTTGTAGTGCAAGCTACCAGGGAGCTATCAGGATCACTTGTAAACATCTGTTTAAGAGATCTTATATCTGACCTTGGATGCTTTTTGAAAGGAAAAGCCAACTTGGTTTTCATGTTAACTAACTGTTAGAGAAAATCTATACTAGATCAATTTTATATAACATTCTGAAACAATATGACTACGGTATTTTCTGGTGTGAGGGGAAACCAATGTATTTAAGAAGACTAGAAATAAATTTTGACCAACCGCAGTGAAAAGTTAACTGCTGATCACTTTGTGCCCGAGGTATATTGTTTGACTCCAGCAGAGTGGAATTAGAGCTCTAGTGAGATGCTTCGTGCAGGGATTTTCCTTTGTATGTTTCTTACAATAGAAGCGCATCTGGAAGCATGAGCCCTGGTGAGCAGAGAGAACTTCTGACGGGAAGAGCATCATTTTCTTCCCACAGGCCAAGCAAAGCTCTGCTGTCCTAGCGTTCTTCTGGCACAGAAGCTTTTGGGAAAGACCACCATTACTGAAACGCAGTAGGTGCTGCAGCTCGTCTGGCATATAGTTAAACTTTCATCTTCCCGGACAGCTTAATGATATGGAATAGTTGTTTAGTTTAGGTCAGGTTTCTAAGGCCAAAATAAAGCAGAAGGTTGGCACAAGCATCTCAATGGTTCAGACAAAAGGTGAAGACTTTGTATTTAGCCAGAACTTACCTTAATGCTTGTTTTCCCTTTGCCTATATGTTTTTGTGTCTTAAAGCTTTTTTGGGGGGACTGTTTTACTTAATTTTTTTTGGACTTGTGATTCAAGAAAGCAAAAGTTACTTTACATGTCCAGTCATTAATGCCTTTAAATTTGGAGTCTGTACTTAGTCTGATACACGTCATTTTAAAGTAATAGGTAAGAAGTAATAATGTCTACATTAGTTCATATTTTGTTCACTAGTTTAGCTTGGGGAAACTCCACAACCATTCCAGCTAGTATTTCACATCTAGAAAGCAAAGGGAATGGATAAACCATTGTGATATCTTTATCCTTCCTATAAAAAGTCCGTATTTAATGGGATTTGCTTTTAAAAGATTTTCCTAGACGTCATGTTAAAAAAAAATCATTTGACTGACTTGTCCCCAGAGTAAAAGTTCACTCTTCCCTCATTCACATGATTACCAGTATTCAAATTCTAAATTGCATTGAAATAAAAGTTGCTAATTAAAATGTGAATTTACTTAGCTGAAAAATCAAACTATTACATCAAATATGAACAGTTTCAAGAGACATTATTCAAGAGACTAAAGCATAAGAAATTACCAGCATAATAGAGCCATTATTCTTACCCAATGTACAAATTATCCTATAATTATTAACTCTTATCTTTGTGAGCTAATGTCCAATTGTGTATATCAAAATGTGGTAGGATTCTTGATGCTCAAAAATGATGCTAGAGATAATGATTGATTTCTCTGTGTTTGAAAATAAAGCCGTGCGTGATGAATATGCTTTCTCCACTAGGCAGAGCTAAGGACTGTCGTCTCCTGCAGATGATGGCTTTGCCTCTCAGCTTTTATTCTCCTCAAACCCTCTGCTGAAGAAAACAACGATGAAAAAGCCTGCCTGCTACACACAGAACAGGCCTGGTAGCTGCTTTTGTTAACTAGCAGTCTGTGGCTAAAGTAATTAGAGGAACTATGTGGTTTAATTAGGCTCCTAAAGCTGCCCTGTTATCTTAAGAGTCAACTGAAAATTAACTCTGTTAACAACTAGGCATTCCTTTCCACCTCCGAAAGAGAAAAAGTTATTTGCAAATTACTTTTAGTAAGTTTGTTAAACATCGGGACAATGAAATAGGATAGATTTCACATAAATGTAAATGGTTTCACACTATAGACTTTGTGTATCCTGATAAAAACAAAGGAACAATAGAAAGCGTTACACTGTAACTTGTTGCTACCATGTGTCAGGAAACATGAATTCATACTTCCCCATTTGTCTTCAAAGGTTATAATACTTCTTCAGCAAATAGGATCATGTCATGGTTAATTTATTTTTTGAAAAGTTTTATGATTTAATGGATGATTTCTGTTTTATTTTGGGAAATACCTTGCTCTGTTGCCGAGGCCATTGTTAAACTCCTAGTCTCAAGTGAGCTCCTGTTTCAGTTTTCTGAGTAGCTGAGATTACCTGCATTTTCTTTTAAGTGTT